TTCACTATTTGTGTTCCATAAGAAGTTTTTATTATTGAAAATCCCGTCTTATTTTGGATTTGGATCAGTTTAGAAATAAAATCGATCGTTTTTCATAGACAGACGTCTTTTGTTTCAGCGCTCAGAATTAAGACTAACTAGAGCGCAGTTCCGTGGTAAGAGAAATTTTTTTGTTGGTAGAATTCTATTCGCCCATTTAGACATGAACCGTAGTGTGTTTTATCGACGTGGATAGAAGTTTATCGCTAAATCAGTTCAATTACTTCAGAGAAAAGCCCTTCTCTTTTCCATCATTACTGCCGACTAAAAGGACAACTGGCACCTTTCAAAGAAGTGCATTTTGCCTTCAATTATGTCTACTATATCTGAAATTCATCTAAAACGCCTCACGGAATTCATTACTGATCATTTCTCGCAACTTTGAGTCGGCTCTCTCTCAGCTGAACTGGAACCGTTCATATCATGAGAANATGGCTCTTCAGTGCATAAATTATTATTCTCGTCGTTCTTCGTTCATTCTCATTTTTGCACGGCCAGGCTTTCACGTATGCAGCCCAACCCATCATCTGCCTAATGCAAGAGCTTTCATCTCAGTGAATCCAAAAATAGAAAGTTGAAGAAACCATCGAATGATGATTTATGTGTAGCGCATAAGTGGAACGCAAGTGCAGTTCTTTGATGCGTCAATTTTTTTGGCTATTCCAGTTTTTTGCTGTCAAAAAGCATTTTCGGATGATCCGCTTCGACGTAGTCGGATGATCATGGATCTTATCACGTTCATCTTTGCCACTCATAATCTCATCTAATTTAATAAATTCTGCTAAACTGTTTGCACATGGTATTGATATTTGAACGTTGCTGTGTAAGTTGTTGTGTTTATCATTTGTAATTTGGATTCAATGGCTGTATAGAAGACTGATTAATTGAATCCGATCAAAAAGCATAAAAATCCGAAGTTATTCCATTCAAATGCATACTTGCACTTTGTTATCGCCGTTTCGCATTCGTTCATGCACAATTAGCAGATTTGCACAGTACCCATTGAAACAATTTCAAGAATGTTCTTTTTTTCAAGAATTCATATTTCTTGTTCATAATGAGTGTGCATTCATTTCGTTATTATAATGAATTGAAGTTGCCTTCTTGTTTCCGTATTTTCTGATCCTTTCGCAAACTCTTACATAATTCTTCAATTGAAATCCGTATACTTATTTTCTCGCCTCAGTAATTTTCAGTTTATACATACGTGCATTCATTATCGTCATCATTTTTTGTGTTTAAAACATCGTTTCTTGGGCTCTCTTCTCATTTGAGGTCATTATTTTTGATAAGCATAAGCCTCAAGCTATCCAGACGATTATCAAATCTCTTCATTACCAATATCCGCAATCCTAGCATTTACCTTGGTGACCGTCGTGGTTTCATTTTCATCGTGCCCCCTACTGTATATCGTCGTTTCGCATTTTGTCTACTCGTTAAATGTTTTCACGGAATGAGCAGCTGATGAATTTTTTGAATGTCGTTAAACTTGACATATCTGGCGATGCGATGATTATTGCCGTGAAAATTTTCAATTTTTAACAATTTTTTGTGTTCGGCTAATGAACGGGATGTGACATAATGAATATCTTTTTTTTNTTTTTTTTCGAATTCTCAATCTCACACGTTGTTCGCCTAGCGATTCATTCGATTGAATATAATATCAAATATTTTATGATTTCTTGAATGCATCGTTTGAATTGTAGTTAACGAGTTTAGTTTGAAACTGGAAACAAACTAAGTTCGCTCCATATCGTTTGACAACAATAATTAGTCAACATTTCAACTGAATGATATCCTTTGATGATCGACTATAAAGACGATCCGACGTTATTTCAATCAGTTTAAATTTTTCAGTGGATTCCAAATTTGCTTTTCCATTGCCGCTAATTTCCGTTTGCTTTTCTCCTTCGCTTATTTTGGCGTTTACTCTGCATAAGTTCATTATTTACGTCGTTAAATAAATTTTGTGTTATTTTCATGTTGACGATAATGAATTTCAATGCTTTATTTTAAGGTATTACAGAACAATCAAATAATTATTCGGTTTTGAAACGTCTTTTAGTGCGATTCGCCTCTAAAGGGCGTTATTGAATATATGAATGATAAAAATGCGACATTTAATTGGATTGAGGCGTATTTGCAACGATTATTTGAAGTATACTTTATTATTGTGTTTACTTATATCATCAGTACGACTTTCTTACGCACAAACAACATCAGCGTGCAAACAAATTGATGCTGCTTTTAAACAAGCAGCCGAACCGCATGAGAGGGTATGTTTTGTTGATGTTATTCTCTTCTTATCATTGCTACTATCATTTGTCTTTATCATTGTTCGTATCCTCATTGCAGTCGCCTTTATTACTTCATTTCCGTATCAAAAATTAGATGTATCTAAGATTTCTTGCTCTGCTCTGTTCTTCTTCTTGCAAGAAAGAGCTTCAACTTATGTATTTAAGAGAGTATCAAACCATAAGAGGTAACCAATTCTCGAAATTTCGAAGAGGTGATTTTATCGCCTCACAAACTCAGAACAATAACTATTTGATTCACTGCCATAAAAACAGGTTCACTCTGTTCATGTGTATAACTACGCATCGACGAACCTGTTTATGTGTGAATAGTTCAACGAAACTCCGCATACGCATCCCTGAATGAGTTGACGAATAATTTTCGAGTAATCAGAAAATGATCGTTATTCAATTTGAATATGAATACAAAAGGCTTTATGTGCAGTATGAGGGTTAGGTTAGATCTATTCGAACGTATACAATGCAAAATAGAGGGAGTGAATGTGAGTGTAATTATAATATTTTTGACATTAACACACAAACCAACATAAAATTTATGCGAATAATAGAAGCATTCAGATGAAATAAACGTTTCGTGTTTGGTAGTGCCTGAATATTATTTTGAATTTGTAGATATTATTACGATATTTATTACTTGAAATATAGCGTTTTTGTTTGGTTGCTTAGCAGCCAGAATACAGCATAATAGAGCTTTCGGAAAATTATTGCTCAATTATTATTTCTTTGCATTCAGCTCTTATGACTATCGGAAAAGTGATCTTATCTGAAAGTCTTCAGAACCAATCAGCACGTCATCGTTCCTTTTCGCATATGAATGACAATTTCACGTTAATCACCAAATGACTCTCTTTGGTTCCATTTGAATAGAATTCATCAAAGCAAAATTGCAATAAATGTTCATAAATTGTTACCGTAACGAATAATGTGATTCAATACTCAGCCAATCATTAATGGACAAATACGAGTTCCAATGATTTTGACCTCAATCAGTATCAATAAAAATTTAATCCGTACTCGCTTAGTTTCTCTTTTGTCAGTGAAACCGTGAAAAAAAAGCATTCGTAACTGTTGCTGTCGTTTATTGCAATTCTCTGAAATTTTCTTACTGGTAAGTGAGGAGCATCTAGAATAATTAGATAAACTTTCTCAACTTGTCTTTATGAGTGTTAAACGTCGATTTTGTGTGACTGCTTTAGAGTTTATGACACTTCTCATTATCAGTAATTCAGTGCTGTCAAACTTGTCGTTCTATACAATTGAATTCCATTTTGAAACTTTCCCACAGCTGACACATGTGATAAATAGTGAAAATTCGTTGCTGTTGAGTATTTTCAAGATGTATCGTCTAAATTGAACCATGGAACTTTTCATTTTTGATGAATGAAAATGTGTCGCATTGAGAAATGACTAATGTAATCTTGTATATTTCATTTGTGAAATCATTTCAATTTGTGCGCAATCGTTCCATGAAAATACACCTCCGGTCACATAACGTTTGCATTGTGAATAATCGAAATTCCAACACAGTTATCGTATTACCAAACGTTTTCGCATCAGAGTGAAAGGGAACTCGAGTTTTAATCTGTTTGCATCGGTAGAAGTAGTTTTGAGTGTTGTAAAATGAAACGGAAAGTATCCATTATGATGAGAAGAGGAAGGAAGGGAGTTGAGAAATAGGTGAAGTATTTAAGTTAAGAATGTAAGTAAACAACAATTGTTATTTGAATTAGGTGGATTATAGGCATATTTTAGAAAATGGTATATGTGATATCATTTGATTATTTTGTTGTATGGATGGATAGGTATATCAATAGATGAAACATTTTTGTGTCTGGTACTACTTGTCACACCATCCCACAAACTCAATACAATAGATTTTTGTCGAAGTGATCAAAGATGATTTCATCAGATCGAACGTTCCGTTCCATCTCAGTGCATCGCACTCATCTCAACTTCTTTAAGTGTAGTTTTTATCCGCGATAATAAGTTGGAACCGATCAGTTGAGATCGTGAAGTTACATCAGCATATGACGAAATGTTTAAACATAGTGGATACACTGTTGACAGTATCTTTTGAGAATTTCATTTAGGGTTTGTGGAAGATTGCTGAACTTGTGTCAACACTCAACATTTCTAGTTACACTATGTGGTCAGTTGTCGTTTTTCATGAAATCAGCATCACTGAATTGGTACTTGACAACGGTTTCATATTTCGAAATCTGTGTGTACGAAATTTGTTTCGTTCTATTTTCAAAGCTCTCGCTGTGACCTCTTTTGATTTGTCCAATTGGAATTTTTATATTCTTTCAAAACACCGAGGAAATGGGCGCATCATTATAGACGTTATCTAAATATCGCTATCCAATGAACCATCTTTAGAGTCATGTCAATAAAGTGCAGAATTCCACAATTCAGTAACATTAAATTTACTATCCGACTTAGACTTCTTTAAGAAAATCACTTTCCAGTTCGTTCATATGTTCTCAGAGACGCATCTTATGTATATTCCATTCTGTTATGGTGTAGTCATTGACACAGAGGATTAATCATCTGGGTGAATAACTGAAATAAAAACTTGACATAGGATCATTGATTTCTGGAACAATCGCATGAATTACTGAAATAAAAAATAAACGAAAATTTAAGGAAGCATGTCGATGTTTCATCGATACAACATCACCTTCCCCGTCACAGGATCTGAAGCACCCATCATTAAGTGATAACCACAGTGATAAAATATGGATTGGGTGTACTCGTCAAAAGATGCCACAAGTGTTCAGTGCTCTAAATGCTCTCAATGAAACGTTAATCTCAAAACTGTATATTTGGGATTCACTAATTAACATCATACCGGCCGATATGTTTGCACAGGTATTGCCTCATCATCGTTGTCATTACTCGAATACGAATCTTTTCATAGAATTATCATGGACTTTTGCTGTGGCATCAAGATTTATATTTATACACTTTAAGTGTTTCTTTCAATGCAGCAATAGGTGAGTCTTAACAATAAGTATGATTCTGATTGCAATAATTTAGGTACGTCCTCGTCAGCTATCGATAGAGCACTCTGGCGTGAGTGTGTTTCGTGCAGGTGCGTTCAGTAACATTGGACAGCGGTTGAAGATACTTCAGCTGAGGAACAATATCATAAAAAGAATTGAGCCGGTCATCGTCGAAGACTTGCATCGTCTTCAAGTTCTCGATCTTGGTGCCAATAAAATAGCGCAAGTTACCAAAGGTTCGTTCGTTTACTTGCTGTCATCGTGGTTATTGCTGATGAATTTTGATTGTCAGTCAGCGTGATGCCTCTCGTGATGAATATTAGAATGATTACAAAAATCAGTTTGTGATGATAATTTATTTCAGGACAAGTGGATAAGTTGAAAGATCTGGAAACGCTCATCTTAAGTGATAATCAAATCTCGTATATCGAAGATGATGCTTTCCAAACGCTCACCAATCTAAAAACGCTCAGTTTAGCTGATAATAAGCTCACTGATATTTCAAAGTAAGTGGACTGTGTCCATATTGTAAATATAGCAAATTGCTCCTTTGTTACATAGTAAATCTGTACTAACTCGAATCACTCGAGGCCGTGTGTCCAAAACATCACTCGAAGTTAACTTGTTATATTCGTTTCAGAAACACTTTTCGTGGTTTAAATAATTTGGAAACTCTCAATTTACATGGTAACACTATAACCACTGTTGATTGGTCAGCATTCGCTCATATGAAAAATTTGAAACTATTGGATATCGGTAAGTCTGAAACAATTTTGATTTAAAAAACGAATTCATTATTTTATGCATACGTTTCATTTGATGTTTCAATATTCCAATGAAATTGTTCTGTGAAGTCAAGTAAAGTGGCGGTTGTTCAGTTTTGCCTTTTTTAACCAGTTTCGTGATGGAGTCATATGAAACGGCTGCATCAAAATATTGCAAAGTATTTGTAGGAAATAATCAAATAACGAATGTTGAATTACACGGATTACAATCACTCGAAAAACTATTCATTAATAATAACAGTATTCAAACACTGAAGAATATCAGTTTGCGTGATCTTGTGAATTTGAACGTTTTATCGCTGGATCGTAATTCAATAACACAAATCCAGGATGGTGATCTGCATTCATTAGCTGAAAGCGTTAGGTATATCATACCCTGAAATATTCTTTGATTTAGTTATCAGAAATTTTGTCCTCATTGAAATGTTGATCCTTTTATGTGCTTGTTTCTGAGAACAATTTTCTATATTGCAAATAATGTGGTCGAAAAAATTTAATGACCACAATATGGTCACAGAATTTTATCTTTTGAATTTGTTGTGATACAGAATGAAATGCTTCAATGTTCAGATTGAATTCATTATCGATCGCTGCAAATAAAATAAATAAAATTGAATCACGTGCCCTCGAACCAATTCATCAGCTTAAAATACTCTCATTAGAAAATAATCAGTTAAAATCATTGTCGGCTGATGATGGCATTGGTAAGATCTCGTTTCTTTTTTGTCTTCTTGAAAGCTTTCTTCGTTGAAATTCAAATTAGTGAGAAGATAGAAAAGATACTGAATTAACCTTTCGCAAATTATATATCTTCTGAAGAATGCATTGAAACGTTTGTTGTGGAAATTTCATTCCATTTTCTTTGAATAAAACGTTTATGTTGAATAATTTTAAGGGAATGTTTCGTTTCTTCGACCTCTTCGGAAGTTAAAAACTTTATTATTGTCCAGTAATAATATCAAGCAAATCGATGAGAACGACCTCGCCTCATTAGTTTCACTGAAAACACTCGCGCTTGATCATAATGAAATCGAAAAGGTTTCTTGATATCGATTTTTTTAAAACACATTTTGGTTTCATTCAAGTTTTCTTTATTTTGAATATAATCGAACCAAATTCTTTGATGACTGAAAGAGGATTTGAATGATTTCTTTTGGGGTTTTGGAAATTATTGATCAATAGGTGGTGGTGTGATGCCAGTTGTTTATGACTTCAATAATGTTTAAAAGCATTTGAATACCACCGAATCAAAATGAACGTGAATGTAATTGAAGATTGATTCGAAGGCGTTACTGCGATTACCACTTACAAGAATATACTTAAATCACAATCGTCTCTTTTATCTTTCGAAAGGAACTTTTGATAGCCTATCAACGAGCAATTTGGATGTTGTTGATATTTCTGGTTGGTTTTTCGTTATAATCTTCTCTTCTTTCGTTGATAATAGTAGTATCAACTCAGTGATCTATTTTTGGCATTGTAACGCAATTGAAAGAAGTTTTTCATATGTACAGAGATAAATAGCGGGATATGGTCATGATTGGTAGTGCTTGTTATAATAAGAAAATGAGTGGCACTTTAGTGATAGTACACAAAAATGAATTGTTCATCAACAGAATGATCGCGTGGGCGCTGATGCGTTAGAAACGTGAAGTTGTTTATTGATTCGTTGAGTTGATTGACCTGATTGATGCATCGTGCTCGGTGCTATTTGTTATAGACAGTCATGCAGTTTTCAAGGTCGTATTGCAATTACATTAAGCGATCGCTAAATTACTCCACTCAAATAACTTTTTTGTATCTGAAAACATATTTTGAATGCACACGCAAATATAAGATAAAATCAGATGAATTTCGTTCACGCTTTTTGTTCGTTTCAACAGATTTGACCGACTTTCGCAAGTAAACCAAAGTCACAAATGCGTTCGGAATGATTTTATTTGTTGGATTGCAGTTCTTTCTATTGAAATAAAAACTGACAATTGTCTTTCTCAAATAAAATGTAGTCTATGGTATTTGCAATTCAAGAATGCATCCTCAGAATCGCATTCCTCAAGAGTGCATCAGAATATGTCTTTTCAAGTAGAACAGTTAACGTGAATGACTACTTTTATTATTTAAAAGTAATGAAAGTGTCGTTCGGGGTAATTACCAAAGCAAATTTTTGTATTAAAATGTTCCATGTGAATTGCTGTTTCGTTCTGAAAATGTTCCATTCATCTTAAAGTATTCACATTGTTTCATAGAAGTGTGAAATGAAACAATTATGACAGCGAAAAATTCGGATAATATCCGACATGAACAAATTTCAGTTCGCAAAATACAAAGTCGATATTAGTAAGAGTAATAATTCGCGATTATGACAAAGAGAGTAAAGAATGCGAATAATAATAATAATAATTTGAGAGTGATGATGTTTGCAGATAATGTGTGGCAGTGTATTTGCGAGAATGATTGGTTATCAAAATGGCTATCAGAAGTAGGAGATAAGAACGTTGCTGACGGGAGTCTAGGTTGTATAGCAACAAAAAAGATGTGTAACGGAGATGACAGCGATGATAATATTGAAAGTGAGGATGAAGAACACAGTGTGTGGATAACAGTAATTGCGAGTATTTTGGCAGTTGTCTCGTTGTTCATTCTGATTGCGATTGCATTCTTATACGTTGAAGATGGTTCGTTTTCTTTTTTTAGTAGATCCATTTTTACATACATTTCTTATGATCCATTTGTTCTTCACTTTATTTAAATGGCATCGGATTTTTGGCAATATTCATCTGTATTAATTGTGTGGATTTTTGCATATTCATTGAAATGGCTGAATTTCTATTGATTATAGTCAATAGAAATTCAGAGATTGATTCATTCTTGAATTTATCAACTGTATCGCTGCAAATTTGAATTGTGAATGATTTTAGGGAAACGTCTTGATAGGATCACAACTCCGTTACGTCGTGTACCATCGGATTTGTTGAGACTGATTCCGGACGGCGACTCGATCATATCATTGCCAAGTGAATCGATTGTCGAGCCGTTCATTACATCTCAGTTACCACCACCAAAACGGTCAATAATAACTAATCATCGAAATAACGCTAGCAATAATCCGTTAATTATAACAACTCACAATGATAACTCTAATCAATTATCAACAATTAACACCAATGACACTAATGATAGCAATAATAATAATAATAATGGTAAAACCATTGAAAAGAAACGGGTTCGATTCAATGGCATCTGAAATTTTATCATTCAACGTTTATTGTTCATGTTTGTGTTAATCAGTTTTATCAGATTTAATTCTCAGCAAGCTGTTTGCTATTTATTTTGATATAAAATATATGTATTGTTGTTCGGGTGCCGTATTTAGGCCTTTTGTATGCTAAAAATAGCGTCGGGACGAATTTATTGAATAACTGAGTCGTATTTGTCGATACTGTTATTAACTTGGTGATTTTGTCGATAGATTTCAAATGCTGTTGAATGCCTGCATATTCTGGTCCGTTGATCAGTACATTAGAAGATTAAATGAAATTATAATAACAGTGATCACGATCAATTATTCAGTAAATTTCTAATAAAAGAAAATTTAACTCTAATCATATTTGCATTCTTCTCATCTCGTAATTTTCTCTCCCAAATGAATTTGAATTGATTTGAGTAATCAAATAAGTGATAAATTGTATGTGGTATTATTTATAATAATTATATTTGCAATTCTAATGGTATTAAATATCATTTCCGTTATTATCGTAATCATTGTGAGAAGTAAAATTTGAGATCTCTTCTACCTCATATTCCTTCCATAGATTCATACCCATACAATTCGGTCAGTTATATATTCATGATAATAAATTTTCAATCCATCAATTTGTAGTTTCTGTTCTTGCTTTGTTATTATCGAAAGATCTCATTTCAAACCAACTATTTTATTGCATCAATTCAGTAGCATTTTCATTGAGTTAGAATAATGGTGGGAGATGTTATATCACTGGTCGAGTCGAATTCAGTGATATTCTTCAGATTGCTCTGATTCTGGACACTTATTGAAGGATTGTTTTCGTTGAGATTCAGTTGAATGTGGATATCGATTATTTTGATAATAATCCTTTTTAAATCACTTCATTTCATAACGAACTTTCGTTTATTGTCAATTATTCACATATCTTAATTGAATTCTTTAGATTGGTTCTGTCGTTGATTTAAGGACAGCCATCTATTCACATGACTAAAATCACTGATATTATTTCTTGTTATTCTTTGCACTCTATATCCTCGAAGCAATTCATTGTTCGTTCATCCTAACTGGTTGCTATGCTATCCTGTAAAATCAGAAATGTCCGTCCGAAATATGCGTTTAAAATGAAATCCTTTAAGCTTTCTCAACTCGCTGCTATTATTTATCGTTATGTTTGCTGTGAATTCGTCGATATATGACGTTAAATTAATCCATTTCCGTAACTATTTGTTACTCGTTTCCACTTAACTATTACTTTCTAAAGTAATCTTTCATTTTTGTTTCCTGTAAATACTGATATATGGCTTTGTATCTTTAGTATCCGTCACTCTTAAATAATGCCCGAAACGGAGCCCAATGCGTGTCAACAGTTTCATGTGTATCTTTCGTTTTGTTTGCTTGCAATTTGTTTTGTGTGATTTCAGTGTAGAATTTGAAAATATGAGTGTTCATCTTTCGGAATGGAACGGTCTCATTTTATTTCTCAATGACTTACGCATTTGTAAATGTTTTTTCGACACTTGAAGGAAGATAATTGATTTTTAGCTTTTTCACTCTTAAAGCCAATACAATTGGCGACACATCTTTCACGTTGTAAGTTAATTTTGCAGTGTGAATAATGTTTCTTTTCATTGATTTGAATTGAATTTCACGAAGATTTCATTACTTATTTTTGAGTTTATTCGATGAACATTCAGATTTTATTGAACTGTGATGATATATGTTTAAACCATATATGGTGAGTCGTTTTGTATTTAATGACTTATTGAAGCTTAATAATTGCGTTAAATACGAACACTCATTGATATTAGGTAACATCTGCAAAACTTGTATTCGTTTGTAAATTTTACAAATTTTGTTTCCGTTGTATTGATAGTATTCTCAAGGATTTTGATATGTGGTGATGTTTCATATTTTATTATTACTTATTTTTATTATTGATTTTCATCGTTATTGTTGTTGTTATTAACAAATTTTCAAAAAAATAATTGCTGCACTCATTATTCGTCTCGTCAGTCTGATTGGTAAAAGTGTGTAAAATTACTCCCCAAGCACATACATACCTAACCCAAATAACACTTTCATCTCGTGCTTTAGTTAACACCTCGTTTCAAAGGCAATTATTCACACTGATTTGTTTTTGTTGAATTTTAGTTGGTGAACATTGGGCGAGGTTTGTTCTTTTTAAGCATCGTTCATCCACCGTTTTCTAGATAAACTTTGAAGTTGTTTATATTTATTGTTTTCCGTTTCATTTTCAAGAGATTCTTTTATTTCGATGAAATTTCACTTTACTGATTACCTTCAGGTGGCATACAGTTTGAATTCATTCGAATTTCAGCTCAGTTTTAAGACTCACATTGAAATTCAATTCGTTTCCATGTTGTTAAAAGTGTGAATTGATTCTTATATGCTGTTGCTTCATTGTTGAACAGGTTCTTTGTCTCAAATGTCCGTTACTTATTCCGGAAAAAATGGAACGGTTGAAATCGAAGTTGATTTTAAACGATGGATCCAACGAATGAATGTAATTTGACCCGAAAAGTTAATGAACAGTTTTTATTTTTTGTTTTAATTATTGGTCTTTATTGTTAGTACTTAATTCTATTATTATTATTA